ATCCTGGGGGTAACCATTTGCTCCATAGCCAATTGTGCTCTTGGATCATTCTGTAGCATATAGTTTAAGAGTACATATAGTTTAAGAGTACAATAAGGTTTCTTGTGTGAATGTGGGTGAGGTCATTCATATTATCATACATACATATGGTAAGAAATATCCCTACCCTCAAATATCTACATATACCAGGAAAAAGTTGATTAAACTGGGGATGTACTTCTTGAATAATTTCCAGTTATCATAATACAACATTATTTACTTGAAAATAATATGGCATAATGTTCAGGTAAAAACTGTATTGTAAAACCTCATTAAAATTGACAGAAAAGTGAAATGAATTTTATGCTTATTGGTTTTGAAATTTTGATAAAATAGCAAGCATTATACTTAATTTATGCACAAGTTTTCAGCACGTGAAATGATATAAAATGTTTAGCTTTCCTTGTGAAGAAGCTGATAACAGTCATTGTGTAACATGAGGAAGCAATTCCTCAGGTCATCTGATTAAACAAAGCAAAGCTCACAATAAGAACCAGAGAATAAAAACAAGAACAAAAATAGAAACTGTGCTACCTTTGGAAACATCCCACAGCAGGCTAAGCAAATGCTAGACTAATGCTTCTAATCTAGCTATTCATTTGCTACTTCCTGAACTTGAAAAGTATTCATCATCTGAAATTAAGACTTGCTTGTGTGTTTAAATATCTCATGATCTCCTATCAGCCACTAATTTTGTAATAACTCTTCACTATTCTCACCTAAAGCAGTTCACTTAGAATTAAGATCAGGTTTCAATCAATTGTACATACCTTAAAAAGAGCTATGGAACTTGCTCTATTTCTGATTTAAAGCACAAAATGCCCCATACCTCACTTTTCCAGATGCAATGTAAACTAAATTCCTACTTGTCAGATTCCATGTCTCTAAAATATAGTAGAGACAAAATCAGAGAAACTGCCTATACAAACAAGTTATTTTGGTTTTTATTTTTATTTTAAAGAATAACATTGCAAAGAGGTAAATTCCATAAAACTCTGTAGCAGCAAAAACACCAGTGAAGATACCAAATGGAGAAGAGGTTAAACCTTATTTCCTTTCCTTGTAAATATTTGAAAGCAGTTAATTTTATAAGTTTGGAATAGTTGCCCTATATCCACAATGTCAGTATTTTATGTGAATTCCTTAGAGTTAAGTATACAGGCTGTGTGCAGGGCCTGGGGGGCCAGGAATTCCAAACACTGAGGAGCTGGTCATTTTACCTTTAGCTGAGGGTTTGAGGGAATAGAATGTTGAAGTTGCCATACTCCCAAGTGAGTAAGGAAAATGATGATTTCCTTTGCAAAAATGACTCCAAAGAGGAAGTAGTACATGCACATATGAGCACATACACAATACCACTTAATACACACAATATTTTTCTCATTTCCTAAACACATTTTTATATATTTGTAAAAACATCTAAATAAATTGCTTTTTTCTCTGAGTTTATCACTCATTTCAGATTAAAATTGGCAGATACTAAATAGACAAAATAATCATAGTGGACTGGAGGTTTCTATCACTAATAGAGACACTTGTGCATTGTAGGTGTCCCTCCCATTCATCTTGAAACCCTGGTCTACACCCCTACCAGCATCTTTCCTATGCAAATGACTGTAGATTGAAACCCTCATCAATAGGTGCTACAATCTGCAAATAGTTTCCTTGTCGGCTTGGCAACTGTGACTCCTGCTGTCGGACAAGTGAAAAGAAAACCGCAGTCAGCAGCTATTCAGCAGCAAATCATTAATTAATTACATTTTAATGAACCTTAAGCGGCTACTGCAGGAGCCTTCAGAAGTTTATCAAAAATGAAGAATTGCCTTGTGTAAATCTTAAGCTGACTGAAAAAATTCCAAGGGCCTCAGGGTAACAGTTCTGTGCAATTTCCATATATCTCCTAAAACTTTAGA